CTATATCTACTCATATTCATTTAATTAAGCATTTTAATGATTTGCCCGATTCATAGATTAATCGAAAAAATAATCAACAGATTAATCGATTATTAAAATAATCGTTAGTTGCAGCCCTAATTGGGACTGGGCCATTGTACCTCCCATACATACTGTATTATTTGCATTGTTGAATGCCTGGCCTCTGCAGGTTGCATTATCCAAGTTTAAGCACTGCCAATACTGTATCAGCCAAACTCTCCCTTGTGTGACTTTCAGTTGGTTCAAAGCTAACAAATGTATCAATTATTTTTCCTTCATCACTTGCAAATCTAAAAATAAATGTCAGCTGGTCCATTTGTGACAGATCAGGTGTGGAGTCCACAATCACAGAGACGTACTTTGCTTGTTTTACCTCTGCAGACATTGTAGTTTTCACTTTGTGGCCCATTTGCTGAATCAAGTCCTCGCGTGGTGGAAGGACATGTTTTGCTGCCCCTGCTTTTCTGTCCAAACTTCATGTGCTCACTAAGAAAGGGATCAAACTGAGAGATGCCAAGAAAGTTACCGTTATGTAGTGATCCAAGTAATTCATCATCACCACCACTGTAAGGCAAGCCTCTTTCTCCTGAAAACTGAAGGACGGCTACAACCTGCCTTAGCACCTCTTGTCAGTATCTTTTCTTTTCCTCCAGCTATTGCAATAGTTCTGCATTCACAGTCCTGCTTCCAGTGGCCGATGCGCACTGATCCAATGCTAGCATGCTGTTGTAATGATCCATGTTTTTTTCATGATCAAGCACAGGTTCGGGAAGTTTCCAGTCAGAGAAACCACTAATTGACTTTTCTTAGCTCCAAACAACATGCAGGCAAAAACAGAAAATATTACCTGTGGATGGTGAGAGACGTTTTCTCCATTTGGAAGATGACAGCACATTAGATTATTAGTGAGAGTATCAGGTTTTTAAGCAGGCAAAAAACCCAGGGCGCAGGCAGGTTCAAAAATGGAAAACAAGCTCTAAATCAAAAGGCTGGCAGTGCAACACAAAAACACATGAGAGTCCAGGTAACAAGTAACACGGAGGCAGGACAAAGTCAGGACAGACTGAACAGTGAACAATGATCCGACAAAGACAGAAGACAAGACTTAAACCCCCAATATACACTACTTGCGTTCCATCTCCGCGCCGCTCCGACCTCCGCAGCACATACGCACCCATTATAATCAATGAGAGTGTTTACACTGGTTGTGCATGGCAGCGGTGAGCGGACGGCGATCCGTCAAAATTAGAACAGCTCCTATTTTTGCTGGACAACAGAACAGTGCCGGAGTCAATTTTTAAAGATTACGTCGCACTAACAGGAAAAGAAACGAGCACAACATCCATATTTTCAAAATAAGACACTATTCGGCGGAATAATTTGTCAGAATAATGTTGAAATTGCAGCTATGTTAATAAATATACAGATATATTTCTACACAAATGCTGTCGGAATGTATCGTTCTGTTTGGGAAGCAGATGGAAACATGTAGCATGAAGCTTATGTGTACACACACGATACACGTGGATTTTATTTTGAAATCAGAAGTTTCAGAAAGCCGACAGCGAGACAGTTTCAACATAGATACCAAAAGCCTTTATATCATTGTTTTCAGCTGTGTTTGGAGTTCGTCTTTCACTGAATTAATTATTTTTTGCTGTGACTTCCACATTTATCACTGAATTTATCGCGCGATCTGCTTCATGCACGTCTGTCGGACCGGAGCGGAGGTGGTGTAAACTGGACTTGAAACGGTGCAGCTGCGACCTGCGCAGCGGAGCGGAGACGGAACTCAAGTAATGTGAAATCCAAGGTCAGAATATAAAGCAAACAAATTAAGTGACAATGGGAAACACCTGGGGAAACAGGTGAGCGTGGGCGGGGCTGGAGGCAAGACAGCAGGGAAGAGAAACACGGAACAGAAAAACACTAGAAAATGAAGACAAAAACACCAATCATGACACAGAGAGCACACTTTACCATCCAAACCTCCATCACGAGTTGAAGCTGGATATCTGGCCACCAGATTATGAAAAGCAGCAGCTCCATGATCGATAAGGACAGTGCAAGTATCTTCATTGACTGTCCCCAACAATGCTGGGTCGCACACCAGATAAAACCAATCTGAACTGGCGCTGCTACAGCTAGCTTCACGTGGTTGTGCTGTGCAGCTAACAATAGCCTCCTCCTCCTCTGGACTTACATTTTGCTCCATTTCTTTTATTCTCACACATTTTTGCTTTCTATTCCGACAACTCCCACAGTCAGTGCAGCACTACCTGTTTCATAAATGTGGGGTTAACGGTGGGGCATGTTACTGTGGTTTCCAGCTCTGTGAAGGTAAAAAAAAATGACAACAACATCTTTGTGGATCTTACTGGTTATCTCTATGGCATACATGAAATTTGAGGACAAACTTATTTTTCTTCCTTAAACTGCTCACACAGCGGGCTGGTGGGCGTGGCCAATAGGATAATCCTGCCTTGTCCATAACCAAAGCTGTTGTGGCTTTTCTGGAAAAGTGCAGTCTTAAAAACGAAAAACTTCTGGGCGTAGGGACATTACTTTTGACAATGCCTTTGTTGTGACAGGGATTAACAATGGAGTTCACAAAGTCCTGAAAGACGAATATATATACTTTAAAGGGGCAATATTATGTGTTTCTCAGGCATATATTTAAATTCTATACCATAATAAAGTAACTATGTCACCTTCAGTTGTTAATAAAATGCTGTTTATATGTTTAAATAGGGCGGCACGGTGGCTCAGTTGGTAGAGCTGATGCCTCTCAGCAAGAAGGTCACCAGTTCAAATCCCGGTCCAGGGACCTTTCTGGGTAGAGTTTGCATGTTCTCTCCATGCATGCGTGGGTTCTCTCCGGGTACTCCGGCTTCCTCCCACAGACCAAAAACATGACTGTTAGGTTAACTGATAACTCTAAATTGTCCCTAGGTGTGAGTGAGAGAGTGAATGGTTGTTTGTCACGTTTGTCTCTATGTGTGGCCCTGTGATGGACTTGCGACCTGTCCAGGGTGTACCCCGCCCCTCGCACTGTGACTGCTGGATATGGGCACCAGTGACCCACGCAATCCTGAAAAGGAAGAAGCGTGTACAGAAAATGGATGGATGGATGGATGTTTAAATAGAAATATGACAACTCAGAAAGAATGAAAGTGGACAGTAAATTTAGGCTTAGATCTTGATAAACAAGGTGTTTACAGGCACACTAAACTTATGGCTAGGTTTTAAGATTAAGAACAGTAAAGAAAAGGAGGATTAGTTTTAAGATTTAAGAATGATCAATTATCTTATCAAAGTATGGAAACCGGAACAGCACCCTGCGTCGGCCGGATCTCCGGACACTATACAAAACTTTTGCTTTACCTGTTGTTGTTTTCGACCGTCAGGCCAGCTTGAGGGAAGAGTTCATTCGGTTTGTTAAGGATTGCCAGCTCAGGAGCCTCACAACCAGTAAAAACTCCCACGTTTTGTGTACTGTGCCTCAAAAGATCTGCTTTTGTCCGGCAGAAAAAGACAAGGCACTCCGTTCAGGTTTCTTCAAAATAAAAGCTTCTCATCTGAAGTTTCAAAATAAAGGAGCCTAAAGTGGTTGTTGACTCAAGATTGAATGTGTCTTGATTCTAGAAAAAAAGAATTGCTGGTTGTCTCATGAGACAAATCTTTGTCAGGGGCTGAATTTCCTGAAGGAAAAACAGCTCATGAGACGAAAATTGATGTTTGTTCATCTCTTCCTTCTTTCATTCTGTCAAAGCAAGTTCATGTGTTAGTTTTCTAAAGAGGAGAAGCTAGGAACAAATGACCTTGACTTTCTTGGTTAGTACAGGCAGGAAGAGTGGAATGTTTAGACTGAAAGTCCCCTGCCACGGAATAAACATTTGCATCTGTTCAGAAAAACAAGTTTTAACTTTGACAGACTTACACTGAATGAAAAATGAACTAAAGTTCAATGGAATATAAGAAAATCACTTAAACTGAAATAAATCTAAAAATATTTGTCTGTGATTCGAGCACAAATATTTTATATTTCATAATAAAACACAGTGAAGTCATAATCACAACGATCAACTTAGTTAAATTGAAAAATAAAAACAATCACTTTTGC